CTTTACGCTTTGGTGAGCGGCTTACAGGACTCAGCCAGGCTCTGATTGCAAGTGTGGGTATCTTATTTACCCACACACACTCTCCTCCATCCGGTCGTCCTTCGAGGGTCTCAAGCCTTTACTTTCGCTTGCCTGCGCTTTCTCCTAATCAAGTGCTCTCTTCCGCAGAGTGCATAAAACTGTAAAAATAGCTCTGCTGTGAGTTTGAATAGGCGTAAGTTGGCCAAAAGACTTAAAGTAAGCATTACTTAACTTGCATAATTTTATAATATAACAATATTTATGAAAAACTTAAAGAGGTCAACGTTTAAAAGTGTTTTAACTAAAACACTAGTCACTTTCCATACTAATATTCCTGCACAATTTTAGATCATGTAACCCCATTAATCTTCTCTCTCTTATATGGGATCTCATCAGGAGATTCCTCAGCTCGATTTGCACATTTGATAATTTCTGACTGTGAATCCAAATCAATTTGCTGGCCATCAACGCCCTTGAGGTTGTGGGTTTGCCTGGCCAAGTCTGACCTGGAAAGGCTTTTAGCCCAACATTTGCCTTTTCCCCCCACCCACGGGCCTGGGTATCCTTGACTGTGCTGATTATTTTATGCCTGGACGAGCGGTCAGACGGTGTCATGTTGCTGCCGGCCCCTTGGATTTTTTGATAAATTTTCCATATCGTTAGCAGCAGCAGTAGCAGCTGATGGGGGAAAGCGGGGCGAATGAGAGACCCTTTTCAGGGCTCTCCATTTTAAAGGGTGTTTCGCCCCCGATTTCCTTTGCTCTTTTTCTTCGGGGTAGCTGCACAATTTGTTGTAATACAATATTTTCGCCATTAGGAGCCAGAAGTTCGGGGCAGGCAAATGGCCAAGTGGCAGCCAGTGGCCACTGACTTTGTTTGCTGCGCAATGTTTGCGCTTCTCTGTTTCTGCCAGCTCCATCTCCGCTTCGTCCTTTGGCTCCTTCGCTTACACTTTGAACCCTCGCGCATGCCGCAAGTGGTGGGTGCTGTGAAAATTGAGAGGGACGCCTTGCAGGATATTGAGTTTGAAAAACAAATTGAAAACATTCCATTTAATATCGATCGTTTAAGCATTTTGGAAAGCCACAGAAATTAGTTACACATTTTGGATTAAGTTAAACCAGACTTTAAGTTATATTTGAAATTCTGAAAATAGGTATCAACATATCATTAAAAATATATAATGCTTAAACAGAATCCAGGGTATCCTTTAACTGACCTTAACCTTGCTGATTTGTTCAGTTTATTTAGGCATGAACCAAACTTGACCCAATCGTAATCCGACCAAGTTGAGGAATTATGTTTCAAACATTCTTGGGTATATGTACTCACACATCTTCTTTATCCGTTTTTCTTTCAGTTTTCCCCCTCCCTTCCTCTCACTCGTTGACTGCCTAATGGAACGTAAAGTCTGCATGATTAATAGGCGTCAGTCGGTCGTTCGTTCGTTCGTCTGAGCCTCGTCAGACATTAATGCTACCAAGGCCCGAATATACACTTTTTTGGCTTCCTCCACGCTCTAATGATTTCAATAAAGCTATGCGAAAAAGAAAAGCCAAAAGAAGTCAGCACACGGGGAGCGTTTTATTTTGTTTCAATTTGCTTAGGGGCGTTTTCTGACCGGATCGGTCTGAATTGAACCCCAGTGAACCGAACAACAGGGTCCTGTTTGTCATGTCCTGCGACTTTGTTTGTTTTTGTCTCTTTTCCCTGGGCTTTTAGCTATTCCAGCTAATTGAAATGCTAGAATTTCCCTTGCATGCAAATATAACAGAAGGTATTTAGGATTTTATTAAATTTGTTTTATAAACCATTTTTCTATAGGATTATTTTCTTGAATAAGTAAATAAAAATTGAACTCTATATTTTATTTATAAATTCATAACTAAAACATAATCGGTTTAGCTTAAAAAACAAGAGAAAATGCCAAAAATGAATGCATTTAATAACATAAAATTAACTTTGCCAAATTAAATCGGTTTATTTTAACGTGTGTCAAATGCACACTAATACTTGTGCCATCAAATTGTTATATTTATATTTAATGCACACGTAATTTGGACACCAAATACATTTTATACAATTTGTTACGTCAAACTGCTGTCACCGAAAAGTGCCATGAAATATGTACGAATGTTTTGGATTACAGTTGCTGCTGATGAACATTTCCCCGCCCCTTCACACCGATTTCCCTATGATTTATTTGTGTTTGAGACACCTTTACTACCTGCTGCTTATGTCAACGACAATAAATTCAAGTGCAAAGTGAAACAAAAAATAAAATAAAGAAAATAGAAACAATCGAGGAGATTCCATCAATTGGCCGAGTGTGGAGATAAACTTCAACAAAAGCTTAGTGGCTCAAAATGTTTTTGTCTGGCAAACACACTCACAGGACATTGATACGACCGTGTGGTTCTATCTAATGTTGCAATCCGTGTGTCCATGTGTGTGTTTATGTGTGTTTGTGTGGTGGATAATCAAAACAAACACACAACAGGGGGAAAAAAGACTCACCCACACACCCACACACAGATCCACAGTTGCTCTTGGCCATTGTGGCGACACAGTTTTATTTAAACAAAAGCCTACTTGAGCTTTTGCTCAGTTTTGTCAGCAACAATTTAATGGCAATGTTTGTATATCTGTGTGGGTGATAACTAAATACATAGTATGGTTATTAGTAAAAACAATGTACATATATGTACATAGTCTCCTGGGTAGTTTCTACCCCAAATAAATAACAAGCCTGAATATTGCTACCAATAAGTAAAAGTGTTGGGATCTTGATTTAATTATATATATTTTTAAAGTTAGTTAATATTATTATCAAGTTTTCTTGAAAAATTTGAGAATATATAGTATAAGTTGAAGGGCTTTTATTAATTTAAATAATATTGTTTCTAGAATATTGTGAGATAAAATAGAACTTTTCAAATTAGTATTAGTAAAGTAGTAATTAAATTATTAATTTTAAACATATTCAAATGTTAATAAAGCCATTCTATCTAGCACTATGAACCGCACAAAATAAAATGCAAATCAATTACCAAGAAATTTAAATCTATAAAAAGAGGGCAGACCGCATTTTACATGATTATTTTCACCCCCTGCCGCTTGGCTTTCCCTTGTAAAGTGAGTCAAGGGCACTTTCCACTGTGGGACCGACTTGATTAATGGGAAATTGTGTTACCAGCTAATGCGAGGGGTCAGGGCTCACCGCCAAATGGGGGATATGGATATATATATCATGTTATATATATAGACGAAAAGTCAGAGCAGGTGGAGCTATTTTATTTGCGTTCTGGCTCTGAGCTTAAGCATTATTTTTGCTAAAATTCAATGAGAACGAACTGAATTTCCAATGAAATTTTAACGAATTTCATATTTACAGTTAGCCTGGGGAGAGAAATAGCAGGGGGGCGGTGAAAAAACAGGGGGGGGTTGATGTGGAGACGCTGTCAGAAGCAATCAGGCTGCAGGCGCTGCTCGGCAATATCAAAGAGCGTATTAACATGCAAAGCAGGGCCCACAACCAGAGCCAAAGTCAAAGCGCAAAAAATGAAAAGTGGAGGAGTTCGGTATGCAAAAAAAAAAAGCCAAAATGAAGAAGAAATCTTTGGAAAAAAAAGAAAAGCCAACTTGACTTGCCACAGAAGGCGCAACAAAATTGAAAACCATTAGGATTAATGTTTAGTTGAAAGATTTGCGCGTTAAGCCATTTTTACATGGCTGCCTTCGGCTGCCTCCAATTGCTAATGTAGTTTATGTGTAGGAGGGGCTCCCGGGGGTGGTTCTAGGGGATACTACCAGGGGGGGTCCTGCCAAAGCAGTATCCTTAACGTTAACTGACGTTGGCTTCTGCTGCGGATGCTGTTACTGCTGTTAGGCTTAAGGCGAGACGCACAAACGACATGTAAAATGTGACATTTTAATGTATGCAAATGAGACGTTGAATTAAGCCAACGCACACACACACACACACACCCACAGTGAGATAGACAGAGCAAAGAGGGAAGGATAACAGTGGGAGCGGGGCAGGACTCCTGCTGGTGTGCAAACATTCACTCGGTTCCATATCCGCTTCCGCCGCTAAGCATTCTCTATCTCCTTTGCTTCTCTGCGCTGCCTTTTGTGATATGATTTGAAAATAATGAAAAGACAGTAACAGTCTTCCTCCGCACTTTTCCGGGCTTTTCCCCCACGATTTTCCGACACCACCACCACCATTAGCAGGACCCTCACGTGTCGCTCTTGGCGGAAATGTCAACTTAACTTGCCTGAACCCCAAAAACTGTGTCAAAAACAACATGAAAATGTTGCAAAAATAGAAAAACATATACTAATAATACCCTACTAAAACATTTTTAAGTTTTTTCTCACAAAAAATTAATTATTTAATTGTGGAAAATGCTTAAAAAATAAAACTATTATTTATAAATATTAATCTCAAATACGATAATTTTAGAAAACCTTCGACTATATTCGTATATACCTTTCAATGTTATAAAATAAAAGAGTATGTCAAATCATAGGAATCCCAAAAGTGGAGTCCTCTTGTCCAATTTATTAATTTCTATTCCGTTTGCGTCTTGCAATTTGTCCTTATCGGCTCCTTTGTCTCTGGCCATTGGACTTGTTCGATTGTTTTCCTCTTTGGTCTTCAATTTGTTGATTGTTTTTCTTGGGATTTTCCCAAGAATTCGATTTGGTGGGGCGCTGGATTTTGCTTTCCCAACAAGCTTTGTTGTAAAAATGTTTGATTATGAAGTGTGTAAACTTTTAGCTTGGCTTCAGATTCCTGGGAATCCCTGGCAAACATTAAAAATATTTGTTTTACTTGTACATTCCTTGGCATAAATCTTTGATGGCGATAGTAGCTCAGTTTTTATTTATACAAATATTTTGTATTTATTCTTAGAACTTAGAATAAGCATTTTTCCATTGAAATTAAAAACTAAAAAAAAAAATTCATGTTGTTTGGAAGATAAAATATGCACAATTGTTAATCAAATGAATTGAACAGAATACAGAATACAAATTTGACAACAAAATAAATCAGGAGAAAGTTAAATTTGGGTGTTTACTGGCTCTCAGTCTACTTTCTAAAGTTCTGACCAATGATATAGTCAATCAGCGGGCTGCTCAGCTCCCGTCGCTGAGCAATCTTGTGGAAATTGCTACCCTGGTATTTTATGTAAACGGCCTTCAGCTTGGCTTGTGGTGCATTCCGGGCAAGCTTCGCAATTTTCCTTGAGATTGGACGCAAATCGGAGGCCGAGTACCGCGAGTAGAAGGACAGAGTGGCCGACCAGTGCTGGTCGTTGAAACCCGTGGCTTCCCGGTGGTTTCCATTCAGCAAGTTTAGCGACAAGAACATCGAGGCAGCGGCAATCTCCGAGGGTCTGTAGCTAGCCAGATCGTAGGTCAAGGCAGCCAACTCGATAAAGTACTTGGCCATGACATGCTGTTCATTCGTAGCGCCGGCAGCCTTAGAGTACCGACGCAAGAAGTGAATCGGCAACGGTCGCGACAGGCTAAAGTCGATGGCCTTGAGGATCTGCAGCTCCATCTGGCGAATCTGGCGGGCCGTGTAGGTGTCATCGCTGACATAAACAAAAGTTTCTATTCCAACCGGGCACAGCCTCTCGTACTTGGTGGCTATAAAGAGGGCTGTGACGCCAACCAACTGAAAATAGTTGCGTTTAGTGTCCTTGACCACTTGCAGGTAGCGATCGATGATGGCCACTGCTAGCTGGAAGCTGTCTGCAGTCAGGTGAAACTGCAGGTTGACCGCGTTGATCCAGTCGATCAGCACAGCTCGCATTTTGGGCGATACTGACCTTTGGCCTGCCAGGTGATCCTTGAAGATGGGCTGCTGCTTCTCCACCTGATACAGATAGTCATAGATCTCGTTTACATATTCAGAGACCAGAAACAGATTTCTCTTGTCGTTTGCGTCGATATCCTGAAAACCTTCAAATTTCTTGCTCAAAGAACCATTGGCTGTGGTGCCCAGTGGCTCCTTCTTAACGTGAGTGTCCACCCGAGACTTGGCCTTAAGATCCTTGATATCTTTCTGGGCTGCATCCTTGGCGGCAATGTCGCGGGTTAAACAACGATTTTGTAGAACACCTAGGGCGACTCGTTTTGTCTTTACCTCTTGGGAAGCCTCTCTCAATTTCTGTTTTTTAATTTGGTTTAAATTGTCCGTGGCATTCTTGCCCTGCATTTCGAGAGTTCTGCCTCCCATTATGATTGTCTGTTCCTTATCTATATGGTATTTAATCAGTTACACAAAGGAGCAGATGTTAGATCGCTCTTTTCTTTTGTTTTTTACGGAGTTTTTATTATACTATGAATAGCTGAATCAATGTTAAAAATATTCAATTTAAAACTCAAATGTTACTGAGATTGGATACTGCTTATTCTGAGATTTACTTATTCTGTACGTTATTAGTTTATTTCCATTTTTTATTAAACTTTAATTTCGTTTGTAGAACCTTTTATCACGAATGAAAATCATTTTTTGAACTTAATCCCCTGGGTGCACTTTCCACTATTATAACCCCTCTTTAAATTAATTGCTACACACTTGACTCTTACCAAGATACGCACATGTTTGCCATTAAAGTTTAGACATACCCACAAAAAAAAATACATTAAAAATAAAGAGAAAGTAAAAATAGAGGCCAGCAAACCCTTTCATTAATTACGAGCCATTTAGGATGCATTCGGTAGAAAAAAGGGTATCCTTTTTGTATATTTAGAGAAAGAGAAAGATTTATAACTCACCGATTAGGACTAGTATCACATGTAGAATATACCAAATCTGCAGACTGGTGGCGGCTGTCCTTCGACCGGCTCCGCATCCTGTGGCCGATTTCCTCGTCCCTAGAGCCTGTTGCTCATCGGCAACCGTTCGCTGCTGGTGGCATTGGTGGTTCTCGGTTTTATTATGGCGTTGCGGCAGCTGGTGCTGAATAAATGGATCCTGGGCACACATTTTGGCCGCTTTTGCCAACGTTAAATGCCCCAAACGAGCCACGCCCACACGCACTAATGTCTTTATTAATTTCGGTGTGAAAATTTCACTTATTTCATTTGGACATTAAGTTGTTTTGGGGGTTCCCCTTTTAGTGCTGCCTCTGTGCGGTAATAAAATGTTGGCTATTAATCACTTTTAATCGCGACGCGAACGAAAACAACGGCAAAGTTAAAGGCAAAAACTATTAAACGTCCTTCCGATCCCGTCTCCCCCTCGCTTCTATCATACGAAGCGGCACTGCAGTCAAGTTAAAGACATAAATTTTCAAGCATTTTGGGCAAAGATTAATTACACAGCAGCCTTTTCTCGGTTTCTCGGGAAAGGAAAAGCGTGAAAAAGCGGAAAAACAACGAAACGGAGACCTTGCCACATAAATTCGAAATCCCTGGCCCTTTCCCCTCAAACTCCTTAACCCCTTGGTTGATTTAGAGCGTCAGGAAAACGCTTGCTGGGCAATTGAGTTGGTGACTTAAAGTCCAAGTTGGAAAGGAAACAGTTTTAAAACTTTTCTTAAGCTAAAAAGGATAAAAGGAAGCCTTATATTTAACGCCTAGACCAAAATGTGTGTCACAAAAATCGATTTAATTCCACAAATACAAATTATTTTCAAGAATGCAGTAAATTCCGAAAGCCACAACAAATACCATAACTCCTGAAAAACATTCAGGCAAATCACATAACAAAATATGACCCATAAACGGAAGGATTAAATAAAAAATATGTGCTCGAAATAATGGCAAAAGCAATCCGGATCGCCCAGATAGGCAATTAAAAATATTTGTTTATTGTGGCTTATACTTTTCCGGAATTTCGGTTTTAGTCCAAGCAATATTCATACATCAAATTGCTAAAATAACGGCCTCATCTAAGGATTCGAGCTAGGGGGAAATTTGTATGGAAATTTAGAAAGTTATTTCATATTATAATTATTCAATCTAGGCCCGAAATTAAACACAAGCAACATTAGTCAGATAATTGGAGTTATAAATTGGCAACGAAAATGATTAATATCATATGATGAAAATTAATTTTAAAATCTAAACTAATTGTATAGTTTCGACATAAATTTATTTTGTTTAACCTTAAATTAAATATAATCAAGAACTTTTAGTTATTTAAATTAAATATTTGATGCTATTCAAAAACACACTTGCACATGCCACATGCCAGCCCATGCAACTGTCCTTAAACCAACAAAAAAACATTATATATACATGTTTTTATTGTCTGCCATCGTTGGGCATTATTTATGGCCATTCACAAATCTAGCGACAACAAGAGCAATTAACAAATATTTATAAATATTTATAAATATAAATATATTGTCATAGCCTGACAGCTAACAATAATATTCAACTTTTTCCGCTGGTCATGTCATTTTTTTTTAACTTTCCTTTTTGTTTAAAACCAACAACAATGGCGGAAAAGGCACACATAAATAGCCAGCAAGTCAGGTGCAGATAATAAAGGCAACAACAACAACAAAAAAAGCTGTTAATATAATTACAACAACAATGAAAGCGCGAACAACAATAGTCGGCGGAGCGCCTAGAAATATGCACCACGAAATAAATGGCCAAGACCCGTCCCGTCCCTATATAGACTGTGTATACTGTGTATATCTACTCCAACCCACCCAGGCAACATAATTAGCCTAAATTGAAGCAGAAGCTAGTAAGAGGGAGAGAGAGGAGCAAGAGGGGCGAGGGCGGGACAAGAAAAAATGACAAAATATAATTAAAGATTAAAATGTTCTCCGGCTGAAAGTGGAATTTATGATGGCAAATTTTCTGCTCGGAATTTGCTAGCGCAGTCAAGCTGTGCTCCAGATTTTGTTCTAAGTAAAACTTAATTTCTTTGCAGCTTAAAATATTGCAAGTAAAAAATCTATGGCTTCAAATATTAAAATAAAACTGGCAAATATTTAACTAAAACTTGAATGTTTTTGACTACATTTTATACTTTTAATAATCGAAATTTTAGGATAATGCAATAATTAGATTTTTTCCGGGCTAAATAATTTACACTTCAAAATATTTTATGTGATAGGACAAGAAATATGTTATATATGTTATATGTTCCAAGAATAACCAATTTCAATAGCTTTATATTCTTTACTTTACTGATTTTTTTATTCCTTATTTAGCTTTTAAAACAAATTGTTAAGAAAGTAATCACATTATAAAGTGTTAAATTAGCTGTCACTATAATTTAGTATTTAATTTTTACTTTATGCGCTTTTTTAATTCATTATCCAAATACTGTAAAATTTGTCTTCTTTTTTTGACTTGGTGGCCGCCTTTTAATTATTTCTTGTGTTCCACTTTCGCGCCTTAATTAACCGCAACAGTTTCGTCAGTTTTCCCCCACTTTTCCGAACAATAATAACAGCAAATGCCTGACAAATGCTCTTGGCACGCAACAAATGCCGCATTTTCCCGAAGAAAAAAGGCTCAAAAAGATTTCATATTTTTGTAACTGCATATTTTCCCCCCTCACCGCAGATTTTCTTCGATTTTTTTTTTCTATGTTACTTTTTTTGTTATTATTTTTCCCGACACACTTGCACTTTTCGTTTCTATTTTGGCTTTGTTTTTTTGGTTTTTCCTTTTTTGTAAACACGGAATTACTTTTAGTGGCCACTCACTCCCACACACACACACCGGTCGGTCGGGTGTGCGCTGTGTGCCTGCGTGTGTGTGTGTGCCTGCGTGCTTCAGTTTTGTGTTTCGTCTGAGTTTTCGGGTTGCTTCGAAAAGGAGGGCTTCGAATTCCGCGCGCGCGACAAAAACGACGTGCGTTCTTCTCAAAGTGGAAATTGCGACTAAAAAAAACTCAAGTTCGCAGCGCCAAGTGCGCGACTGGCGCCATCGCACGGCCAACGGCGGAACCCCCATAGATTGGGCGTCCTTCGTGGCCTGAGAGGGCGGAAAGCTTTAGCCTTGGCCACAAAGAGCAAGGCGAAATAGGTGAAGAGAGTAGGCAGAAATTTCTCTTTAGATTTGTTTCATTGCCAAAGCGTTTCGTGATGTTAATAGTGCTGAATAGGTCAGTTAACAGGGTTGGAGGATATAGTAATGTTACGAATAGTGCCCTTAAAATAACATTTACTAAGATAAAAGTTACAAATAACATTAACAATATGCAGAGTGTTTTTATGTACTTTATATATCCCACAAGCCATACACTTTAAGATTTTATTAAGATATATAACAGCATGCTAATGGCGCATTTAAAGTAATTTAATGGTGAAAATTACGATTTTTTACATTTATTTATACAAAATTATAGGTTTATTTATTAACAGTCATTTGCTTGAGTAGGTTAGTTAACAGCTTAAGCCATTTAACATGCCAGGTCGCTGTTACACTTCGCTTAATGATTTCAAAATAAGGGGATATTTTCTAGCATTCGCGCTATGTTATCAGCATCGCCTAAAATGTTAACTTTTAAAATTTCTCAGAGAAGAAAACAAAAGTTTGCATAAAGTATATTTAATTATAATATAACAAGCCCTGCAAATATCAAATATTACATAAACATATTAATAAAATGCCATCAAATTTTAATAAAATAAACATTGATATGCTAATAAAATGCTTTTAAATAAAAATAAAAATAAATAAATAAAAATAAAATCCTTTAAATATTTGCCAAACATATTGCTAATAATTCCAATTCAGATTGGACCTCGTCAACTTTCCCATCAATCATACGCACAGTTGACCCAACAAAGTTTCAAGGCAACAACCCACTCATTGCAAAACAAAAATAAATTGTAATTATTTTTACAATACTTTTTGCACAATTAAGCGGCATTAAACGCGAGGACAAAATAAAAATGCATTCGGCAAATACATAAATGCATGCCCAAACACATGCAAATGAACAAGTACAAATGACTGCAGATACGAAAATCAAATATAAATGGACGCTTAATGAAATAAAATGTAAATTTAACTGTCACTGTAAACCACTTAAAAATAAATATGAAAAATTATCACAATATTTAATGAACCAACAGACCAGAAAGCCAAACTCAAACTGATGACGTCAGGGAATCGGGTGGCGGGGGGCGGGAGAAAGAGGGCTGCAAGGGCATTTAAAATTATCCCTGATATATGACTTTATCTATGCGATGCACACAGTTGAAAAAGTGGCGGGGGTTAAGTGAGCGACTTTTGTTTGCCCAACAGCAATGACAATGAGTTAAAATGGAAATTAAATTGAAATTGAAATTAAATGCAAATAAGGCGTATTAATTTCCTTAAAGTTTTGTAATTATTCGAGAAAATGTCATTAGCACGATATAAAAATAAAGAAGTAATAAGGGTAATGATCTTCAAGTCCTGTTTCATATATTCTACTGCAGAGGGAAAATTAATGTTTATTATATAAACAAAAAAAAAGTATTATTGAATTTTAATAAATATATTTATAGAGGGTTACTTATAAATTATGGATAATAATATAAACTTAAAATGATATTTTAAAGCGAATAACTGCGACGACTTATTTCTCAACTTACTGCTGCAACTTCTCACGATCGACGACTTAGGCCGCGCGCACACTACGGCCGCGCGCACACTACGAGCTGAAAGCGGAGCTGACGGCTGAGAGCTTATCCGCGGAAAGCTTATCAGCGATCGGAGCTTTTTGCAGCCGCGCACACTGCGAGCTGAAGCTGATGTTGATTTGTAATTGTTTTTCAAGCAATACGTTTAAAAAAAAAACATTTTTTAATTCTTTAATGTTTTTAAAATATCCTTGTTAATGCGATGACATATTTATTTAGATCATCATTGCATTTAAATTTTCGAAATCGGACCACCCAGCTCTCCAGAATATGGTTGACAAAGTAGGTTTTTTTAGTGTACTTTGGCACACTGTATCTCGGAAAGTTGACAATATTTTTATTTTAATAAATATTAAAAAAATTCTTCATACTTTTTTATGTAACTGGACAGAAATTTAAATTTCTCTTACTTAAGCGCTAATTAGGGCAATTTTTTAAAGAATAGTCTAAAAAATCAGCTCGCGTCAGCTGCTGCAAAAATCAAACATGTTTGTTGATCAAACAGAGCGGAGCGGAGCTGACCTTATCAGCTTTCAGCTCCGCTCTCAGTGTGCGCGCTCTCATACAAGTAGTGTGTTTGTTTCAGAGAGCTGATAAGCCGTCAGCCGTCAGCTCCGCTTTCAGCTCGTAGTGTGCGCGCGGCCTAAGAGTGTGACCAACTTCCTTCTTACGCTGACATCTCATCTCGCTCTTGTCGTTTTAGGCTTCTTTCAATTCTGGCCACACTGCAAGTGTATGCCTGCCGCTGTCCAGTGTTACCAGTCTTTACATAAATATTTATTTAAATTAATCACTTTAAATTACTTTTTCTCTCGACACTCTCGTAGTTCCTGCTCCTCGTTCTCATTTGCAAATATCCTGTGTGTGGTCAGTGGCGTTGCACTTAAATCCTGTGCCGGATTGAAATCGGTGAAGGACTTGACATTTTTAAGCTTACGTGGTTCCCAACAGTGGACAAGGGGTATGTTAGAGGCGCCTGCAGGAAGGATAGAGCTCTTCACTTTGTGTGCTCAGCTAATGGTTCAGTCTGGCTTAGGTGGCTCTTCAGCAGATGCCTTGCCTGCCAGAAGCATTTGCGCCAGAAATAAAGAAATCGTATGAAAATAAAATATTTAAAATTCAAACGAAATTAAAAGTGCTCCTTGAGTGCTAAGCAATACAAGAATGGATTAATTTATGGCATAACGCAGACAATTTAAGAATATTTGTATACCTAGGAGGGTTAGCTAAATAGATAAAGATACAAGACAATACTTAAGTATAATCTCCAAGCTCGATTGGCTTATTTATACTCATAAAACGCACTGTACAATATCTCACATATTGACGGGGTTAAAAGTAGATCCCATTCCCAAGAAGTCGCACTCCCTTGCCCATTTGGCAAAAGTCAACTTTCACTTCCATAACTTTACCCGCAGCTGTCATAAAAAATACGCGCAACAGAAAGAAAAACGTTAAGAGCGTATTTTTTCGACCAGGCCCAAAGGGAGCGGATGTCGCGAGGGTGTGGGTAGGGTTAAGGCGCACACATAAATTAATACGAAATACACTTAAACAAGAGGGCGGCAACAGAACAAAAGTAAAATATAACGAAAAACTTTTGTGCTCATTGATTTATTGCGTTAATATTTCTGCTTTAATGCATCAAATAAATTAAATTGTCTTACGCACCTTTCAGCAGTCGAAGAAGGGAAAACTTTGATGCCACTTCGAGGGGCGGAAAATCAGAAAGAGGGGCCGCGTCTAACAGAGCATTATTTCCAGCGAGCAGCAAATGCATAACTTCGATTTCGTAAAAAAACAAATAAATATTCATAAAAAATTATTCTTTCTTTCCCACGCATTTCCCACAGTTGGTCGGTCGCCTGCTTCCTCCCACTGTCAAGGAAAGCACTTTGCAGGATCTTCAGGCGCCGCCACTGCTTTGCATACTGAAGGAAAAAGCAAAGGCTGGCGGTAAGGGGAAAAGGCGTTTGAATTATAAATATTCATTTATGCTAAGCAAGCTGTGGAAAGCTAAGGGGTCCGGGGGACAAGGGCAGCGTGAATTTTTCCAGGTGTATGCGGGGGTGTTACCTTCCGTCGCGCCACCTTTTCGGCTGCTCCTTTCGCTCCTGCTTCTGTCTTGGTCTCCTTACCAACAGGTCGTATGATTGATTTAATTACGGTGTAAGGCGTGTTTTTTGTCAGTCTTCGGAGCATTAAACTTTCTCTCTTTTCTTCGGTGCGCCACTCAGACAGTGGCAAATGGAACCTATTTTTGGGTATTACAAGGATCCACTAACAGGTTGTTGATATATTTACCTTACTGAATGGGTATAAGCCTAAATTATTACCTGGCACCTCAATTGTAGGAAATATTCACGATTTTAGGTTGAGTTATTATAGGTTAGGTTAATAGTTGACTTAACAATTGAATAATTAATTCTTTTGCATAAAATTCATATTGTTAAATCAGCTATTTAAATGTAAAATTATATCAAAATTGTATTACTTTTAACAGTATAAATATTTTTCTCAATTTTTTTTTTTTTTTTTTGCTTCTGTGTCCTAAAAATATTATTTACTTAATTATGCATTCCTTTGGGGAGTATTGTGGTTATTTTCGGACCTTTTGTGCGACTGTTTTTTGTTTTGAACATCGCTTGATTCGGCTTTAATTCGGTGGGAAGTCATTAAACTTGCTCCGCATCTCATCCCCCCTAGTCTCTCCATCGGAGTGCTTATCGCAATCCGACCAAATGTTTGCAATTTATGTGTTTCGCTCATTGTTGCTGCTGCTCTGTGCTGAATGAAAGGCTCGGCTAAGCGCCAACGCCCGCATCTACACATAATTTCCGCTTTCCTTTGTAGCGCCCACAGCATCGGATGGGGAGCCGGGGCGTGGCCAAAAGGGAAACAAACAAGCGGCAGTCGTACTTCATGTAATCAACATTTTAATTGCGGAAACGGAACTAACACACATCCAAGCGCACACACAAGAGTACAACGTGGCGTATGTGGAGTATCTGTTACACATTACGCATACGCAGTGTATGCTTCACTCGGTTACAGTCCCCAATGCGTTTTTTTTTCTGGTTCTCTGCAGACCAGCAGCACCACCTCGCTCTATCTCAAATCTCTTTTCCATCCCATTCTCGCAGGAATTCATTACATCACATATAAAGAAAGTTTTAGGCAATTGGCCAAAAATCCCAGGGAAAGAGAAAAACCCTTTGGCCTCCCGCACCACCGAAAGTGACTTTACATATATATTTATCTATATAAACCCACTCAAACGCTTCAGCTGCAGCAGAGCTGCATGCAGGTAGCCCAAATCTACTTAGCTGATGGCGTGGTCGCCCGCGGGGGAATGCGGCGCCGCTGCTAGGTGGCTAGGTAAACGTAAACGAATTTGCGAATATGCAGCAGCCGTGGCAACAACATCAAACGAAACTTAATGCTTACAAAGGGGTCTCGCATTGGGGGTACTCTGTATAAATCAATCTTCTGCATTCAGGTTCAATAAGAAAGGATTATTCTACGGGAAATTCAGGGAGTTTTAATCCCAAAATATCTCTAATTGAAATATGTATCAAAGGTAATTAAAAAATGCTGGAATAAATGAAGTCTCTTCTTATCCATCACCGGCATTCTGTCATGATCTGCTGACAAGTTGCTACCCCTTCTTCTATAAGGCTAGATATCCTTCTATCCACTCCCCCTTTTGCACCTCCGTCGTGCCCTGTTTTTTTCGCCAACACTTTCCTTATAGATGGCAAGCCAGTTTGCCGAAACACTTGAGCGACAATGGCAGGCGCCACAGCTCGGGGCTAAGCAATGCAGACGAAAGCCCAAAAGCCTCGAACCCGAAACCTCCAGCCCTCCAGTTCGAGTCTCCTCTCCCCGACTTGCACTATTTTTTATAGCTGCATCAACAGCAGCAGCAGCAGCAGCTACAGACATGATAAATTCTCTTTAGTATGCGGCATACATGAGTGATGATATTAACCAACAACAGGCAGCTTCCTTGGGGGGAAAGGCGCTTAAAAGGGGGGCGACACTGACAAGTTAGTCAGCCAAAATAGGAGGAATTGGGTGGAGAGAGATTTCTTCTTTCTTTTCCTCGTCTTCTTCCTTTTCAGCAGGTGAATGTTCGGCTGTCTATGGGTGGTGTTGGGATTGATGGTTGCAGTGCAAAGTAGAGAAAAGTGCAGAAAAGTGAAAGCTAAATGTAGAAAGAACGATCTTTTTTCCCTAATTTTTATAATTTAAACAAATTTATATTTAATCAATAACTATTCCTAAGATTTTCCTTTAGAAACTTTGTGACAGTTTAGTTTTATGTCAGTTACACATTTGCTTTTATTTAAATTCCATTCTCGTTTGTTGCTTACATTTATGTTCTATAGTTCTTTGTTTCCTTTGAGTTTTTTTTTTTTGCTGACTCCGCAATGAGTGCAACCACCATAAAGGTGCCATCTCAGTCATCTAATGCCGCCAGTCATCTGTCTTCAGGCTTGGAACTTCAGGCATCGAAATCGCAACACGGTTCGGCCACAAATGCTCTACAAACGAAGAAAAGTGTTGCAGAGATACTAGCATCGGAGTGTAATAAGCCCCCAAAAGAAGGTACCAAACCTTATCCGAGAAACACATTCATACTCCTTAAAACTGGTAAAAAGAATGGCATCGCAAGAAAAGAAACCGAAAAAGAAATAAAACCTATTAGCACTCGAACAAGAACAAGTTCTCCAAAGACATCGGCAAGAATAGAAAAGAGGACCCCGAACCAGGTTACAAAGTCAACCAGGAGCAGAACAAGCAGCCCCAAGAGTCTTGTGGAAAAGCCACGATCAATGAGAAATCCATTAAAAAAACTGGGTGATAGTATGCAACTCTTAAGAAGCAAGTCCCTACTGTCGGTAATATCTAAAGTTTCATCTCGGAAAGCTAATCAACGGAGCTTCTTCCGTGATGGTGCCTTTAAAAATTACCCTTTCGGTACGAGTTTCATGTCCCAAGGGTCTGCACCGTCGAACTTTTCTAATAAAACCCAAATATCCATAAGTCCGAACGGAGGCAGAAAGTCGACGAAAAAGTCCAAGGGTATTTGGGGTCCCAACAAAATTGGCAAACTAAAAGCCAAGCCAATGGAGTATGAAGTTCTGTTAGTGAAAACCCAACTAAACGAAAGAGCTGGTGTTCAGCCGAAAAAAACATTGAAAGCGTCCAATGCCAAAGCAGATGAGTTGATCCTTTCATCGGACTCCGAGGAAGATGCCTTGCTCGAAGCCAAGAGCCCTGTCAGTGAGCCCGAGGAGCCGACGAAAGATGAACCAGCCGAACGAAATGCTTTTCTAGAAATTTTCGGTAGTCTGCCCAATATCAGTGCCATGTCGAGCACAGAAACTCTGGACAAAGTGGAATTACCCGACCCAGAAGCCGAGTTCCTGTATGTAAATCCCGTCGATGTGGAGCGCTCTGAATCAGATAAATCAGAGACACCGATTGGTTCTTTAGAGGAGCTTGAATTATTATCAGCATCTGATCGCAGAAGCCATGCTAGTACAGATATCAGCTTGGATTTTCAAATTGAAAGTGAAGATGAATCGGTAAGAGATCCTACTCTTGTAGAAGAGCCTCAAGTTGAGGATATCTCCGTACTAATGAAGAACATGGACACCAGGTCAACATATGTGGGCTTTAAGACCCCCTCTACGAGTGCCAACGAAAAATACCCAGTGCCATCAATCGATAAAATCGAAGCATTCCTTGATGACTTACTCAAGGAGGCGGCGAACTTAGCCCTTAGGCCTCGAATGCAGCGAATTCTGGACCCTTATAAACTAAGAGATCAGCTGGGACAACTCCTAATTCAATATCAAGACACTTTGAAACAGAATCACACGCTTGACAATATCATCTCTGAGTATTTTATTAGGCGAAAGGAGTTGGTATTCGTCGTTGAAGACGAGGGAATCGGAAGTATACACAGACCGCGGCTCATGGAAGCGATTAAGGCACTGGACCATCATTTGGAGCGGGAAAGGGAGACCAAGATACTAACCGATAATCTGGTGGGAAAACTAAAGACCCATGAGAGAGTTGTCAAGAACTTCGAAGTCCAAAAGGTCAATGAATTCGAGGCCAAGGTAAGGGAAACTCTGCTGAAGGACAGCTACATTCGCCTGCCATTGGTAATAAACGATCTGTTCAGGATGATGAACGAGGTCCGCAATGAAGTATCTAAATCCCGACAGAAGTTATCTTCAGTTCAACATCAGCTGGCGACCATGGAGATGGTGGGTTCCCTTACTTACTGTAATTAATACGTATTCATAATTGCATCTACTAGAAATATGCGAAAATGAATGCCGCGGGCAACAGCGTCAGTGAATATTTGGCCGAACAGGCGGAATCCCAAACTCTGAACATAAAGCTTTGTGGTAATTTACTCCATATATTTTTTATTTACTATATAATTTCTAATCCTTGCATAACCACAGAAAGGGAGGTTGAGCTGAAGCGCCTGAAAGATCGTGTCACCTATGACCTCCATACAATGGCGGAACTGAGGGAAAAGGAGAAATTGAACCGGGCTTTGCTGCAGGAGATGAAGGACAAACTAAAGTCGAAAAGGCTTAGGCAGAAGCAACTCAGAGACCTTCTCTACGATAAAATGCTGCAGCGCAAATGTCTGAAGAAGGAGACTGAAAATATCCGGCGCGGATGCTTGATGCTCCACCCGGACCTGCTGAGAGATTACGATGCGACCGAGGAGCATCTGCAGGCCAAGCAAGAGGTGATCCGAAAACTCAGGTCGGAGTATAACTGCCTGGAACAAAAACTATCGCAGGTCGAATCGGGCGACAGCAGGAAAAAAAGCATATTAAGAACTTCAATCAAATGACTTTTGAAATGTTTATATCCATGATTTGTATTATATTAGTTTCAATCGAACTAGGATTAGAACATATTTTAAGCCACCTTCTTTTAGCTTAGACTTTGCTGTATAAGGATGTTCTATATAGAAGCCATGTTTTGCATATATTGGCAGCTGCCATATATCTTAGTTTCTGAACAAGACTACGAAAACATTGGATACATAGACAACGCATACCTGCTTACATGTACATGCCACTGGGAGTGTATTAGTCTGCGGTGGAGTGGCTGGAGGATCTAAGGATGTGTATGGAGGGAGGAGGACAAAGTCAGGGGGAAGCCCTGAGTCTGTCCAGGCTCGTGTCCGTGTCTAGTTTGGCCTGCTCCTTGGTATGCACATTTCATGTTGCACTTAAAAACAAAAAACGAACAGGTGAGCTCAGGTATGTTCCAGGGCAGCTTGTTCAGCAGGACGAGGAGGTGCGGCTGCGGAGGAGCACACAAACATGTGGCGAAAACTAATAGCAAAAAAGAAGAAGCAGCAGTAGCAGCAGCCAGCAAAAACCGAACCAAAACGAACCGAGTTAGGTTAATGGCAAAGGTGCTGATGCTGCTGCTGCTGGTGCTGGTGCTGCTCCAGCTGAATTTGCAGCACCCTTTGGCCCCGAACTAAACAGCTTCTTCCCACGGTCACCCCAACATCACCCTTCCCTGGGTGTATTTTTTATGGTCTTTTTTTTCGGTCTTGTGACGAACATTAGAGGAAAGACTGGTGCACGCCTGCACTGGCATAAAATATGGAACGTATTGCTCTATCAAATAATGCATATCTAAAACATTGATCAAAACAGAATATTATGTAAATAGGTAACTAAATTTGTGTAGAATTCATGTCAAAAACAAATTATGGTAATTATTGAAATTTACTTACAGTGTATGATAGTCCTTGGATGCCCCTATATGTGTTTTTAGCACGCATGTTCCAAGCGCTTATCGCCATCGTCGCATCGTCGGCTGCTGCTAAAAGAGGTTAGAGAAGATTTTTTCCTTTTTTTTCGTCGGTAGGGAAGAGTTTGGGCTATAGAGTTAAAGGTACTCTTGCCGGCAAAGGGGGTGTTGGTGGAAAAGGTATGGAGCGGGATTCTTGGCAAGCAAGACGAAATTCCGTTAGCTAAATTCGATTTTGCACTTGAGCCGCTTGCAAGCCAGCTAATGCAGAAGAGCGACCTTCTACCATCTCTCTGGTCCTCCCTCTCTATATATACCATGTTCTGCACCTTTATTTCCCTCAACTAAAAGCTACTTTGGGCTCGCTGGCCAAGTGGAAGTTGGGGTAAAAAAATGCTAAAACTAAAGGTAATGCGCTTAGTCAAATGGTTGGAAAACAGAAGAGGCAGATTGAGAATATCTAATAATGGGTTTCGTTTAATTGAAAAACTGGTTTACTAAAATAATTAAAGGTATAAAAGAGACTAAGGAGGAGAACTCACTTTAAAATCCTTAACAGTCAAGTATTTTAAGACAACTAAATAATTTTTAAAAATATAAGTGCCAGCATTTCCTCTTATAATTTACCATTTCCTTGAGTACCTCTCTTCAATTTTTGATCTACCCTATACCAGAAGTCACATTTTTTGCGATGGCGGCATACCTTTCGACACTGAAAGCAATTTGAGCTACTCGACAGCACACCAGCACACACCTTTGAATGGAACATATGCAATGCACGTCCGAATTTGCATCTTCAATCTGCAATTTGGTCGAACGGAAGGCGAGGCTGACTATCTATGGCCTGGCATCTATAAGCCAATTTCCGCTGCGCTTTCCTGCCGTTAGCTGTTGCAATGACCTGGCATTACATAGCATTATGTAATTCAACGTTGTTTCAGCTGCTGTCGCGCTCAATTAACGCAGTTTGGCGTTTTTGGAGCATTTCCCTTGCCAGTGCATTTCCCCTTCCTGCAAAACCGAATGCAGAGGATCATGATGAAGCTGCTGTAAGTGTTTCCGCCATATTACGAATATCATGACAAAAAGCCAGGAAAAAGGGATACAGTGCGAGCCAAAGCTGTAATCGTTTTAGAACGGAAATTGTTTCGCTTAGGCATTAAAACCAATGGTGGTAGTTAGAGTTTTGAATGCAAAGGTTAGAATATTCTCAAATATTTCTTATCTTTAGTTTTAAAATCGAAATTTAAAAAAATTCTAAGCCTATCTTAAGTTCTTATCCTGGCCATATACTTTCGCCCCTCACTGTCTGCTACAAATTTGATTAAGCTGCACAGCGATTTATGCTTGGAAATTATTTATAAATAAATCTAGTTAACTATTTGCCTGCAGCGGAGAAGGACGTCAGCCCTTTCCTGTTTTCCTGCCACGCCCATTTGAGCTCCCTTGCCGCCCCTCACATGGTGCATTCCACTTAAAGCGTGCCACACACATCCACACACACACATTTTGAGTAATAAACTCATTTCATATGCTGACTGCTTTTTCATTTCAAAACTTTTTTTTCGCCCTCTTTTGGTTTTCCTGTTGTTTGCCTCTTGTTAGCTGGAAAAAGGGAAGAGGGCTCCTAGCAGGGTCAAATGATATACGAGTATGAGCTGTGTTCACTTTTTGTTTTGCTACTCCAGTTTGGAACCCTTTTTTCTCCTTTACCCGTGGAGTTTCTGAAGTTTTAGTTGTTGTTCTGGTTGCAACTTGCCGGGGAAAAATATTAAATATGCATACGCTAAATGCAGCCCAAGTCGACTTGCTGCTTATGTAGCTATTTTACCTTTTTTTTTGTGGAAGATTGTATTATATTTCAATGATTAAAATGGATATGTGGGTATTAAATTACTAATTGGTGCCTTTGTTAAGGAAATACGTATTGAGAATGGAAAATTAATGCTCTAAAGACTTTGACTAGTGGGTTAAGTTTGAAATGTAAATTACTGCAAGAACTCTAAGAATAGCGAGTTTTCAACACCCTTTGTTTGCTAGGGTTAAATGTAGGTGAAAACTGCTGTCAAAATGCCTGACATAGCTGTAATGAAATTTGCACAGACCACGTCGCCGGCAATTCTCTGGCTGCATCACCCTCGGAATAGCCACCACCTCATTTTACCTGGAACAGCACTGTATCGTTCTAAACACTGTTGAGTGACATTTTAATAAAGTGCTCACTTGTTCAATTAAATGCCTGAGGCTTAGGGAAAAAGAATAGCTCGAGTATAAAAAAGTAAAGTGCAAAAGCAGACAAACAGTCAGTCAGTCAGTCAGTCAGTGAGTCAGATGGGCCACGTAGCGAATACGTATACGTAATATTCCAACTGCATTCTACCGATGTCTTTTGTCTGACATTCGATTGTGTTTAGCTAACAAGAGATGGATGGCACGGATGGATGCATGGATGAATGGGCGGAATGATGGGTCGATGGATGGATGGATGGATGGATGGTCCTTTTGGCCGGATGGTTGGTTATGTCAGTGCATTAGCTTCTAGGTGCTGAACAATGACAGTTCTTGGGGTCACGACACATCTGCAAGTGTTCCATTGAGTTGAGGTTGAGATACTATGGTTTCTGTTCAATTACTTGGCTGATTGCAAATGAGCAGCTTATCAAGCGACAATGCCAATAACTGTACTTTGTGGTGCCATATTATAATGTAGATGACATATTTGCCGCTTAGAAATTACAATTTCCACTGAAATTAAATACTTTGCAATTGTCCAAGGTAATTATTAAATTATGATATTAAATTATGGATTGAAATAGCATTGAAAAATACTTAAGTCATTCTATTACTTGAATTTCTTGTTGAACAAACTAAATTAGCCCAAGAAGTTAATGCTTTCTTCCTAGGTCCGTGTTAAAGTGAAAACCTTGCTATGATAACCGAGTGCAAATTGAAAACTGCACAAACTTTTACCGTACAACAGTGTCAGCGTCTTAAGGCAATTTTCACAGGCTCCCGGAACAGGGCCACCAAGGAGTGTGGCATCAACCATGAAAATTGGCACATCAGGGGCTTTAAGCGACAATCGTTTATCTACGGCCCAGGTAGGAGCTCCTCCCGGATATACACAGATATATAGATGTGCCTGCATTATCCCGGCGACACGATACGACAAGCAAAGCGAATCGAATTACAAGCCAAATAAATTTCATGGCGGAAAGCGGGAACAAGTGCAGATGTTCCCCAGAGTCACACAGACATTCGAGGCGAAATCAATCTGGGGAAAGCTTGAATGCTTACCTATATTCTAAGGCTAAACTTTAAAAATAAGAAAATAAACAAAATATTCTAAAAGAGTCACCAAAACTTAAAGGTTTTACTCTCGTTTGGACCGAATAAAATTAATTGCACACACTAATTCCACTGGCAATTTTATTGCGCAGCCATGAAAAACTAAGCATAATAAGATTGAATGCCAAATGGGGGCTCGAAAGAGACAGCCCGAGGGTCGCAGAGAGAGACGGCGACAGAGGGAAAGGAGCTTGGGAGGCGCATATTCTAATCACCCAAGTCACGCAAATGTCAATGCTGCTGTCAAAGTGTCAATGAAATGTTCAATGGAAATAAAATGCGCAAATAATAGGCGAACCAAGGCGAACGGCAAAAAGCCAGTGGGTGAAGGATAGGAAAAATAGGGAAAAGAGGGGAGAAAGTGGTCGGGAAGAGTGAAAGAAAGTTGGGAAAAGCGCAGGAAACTTTGTCAGTTTAGTGCTGCCTTTTGCTCGGCTCTCGGTTATTGAAAATATGGCTTATATGGAAATGCCATGGACGCAATAAGCTTTTCTAATTTTGCCTCTCTTTTGTACGGTTTCACTTTCACAAAATTTTCTTTTGGATATTTCTTTTCAGTGAGTAATGAATACTGATCGTTTCTATTAAAATAAATTAATATAATAATTCTCAAATATTATTTGAAATTATTATATATTTTTAAAACTTTTCAAAATAATTTTATTATTATTTTCGGTATTTATTGGCATTTAAGAGTATACTTATTTTCATTCCTTAAACGCTAGACTATTTTCCATTTCTTTCTGGTATTTGTTTTATTAATAAGACACCATCGCGTCTGTGTGTGTGCGTGCGGAAGTGGT